AGACCGTAATTCTTGCGCAATATTACGGGCCGTAATATCTTACGTAAGATTACGTTTATATAATTTGCTGATGTACCACTGCATGGGTGTTGCTCCAGTCTTTTTAGGTAGGATGAAAAGTAGAATTGCTGTAATGTTTTTTGTAATATCTCTAGAAGAAAACGGTAATGGTTTCAAGAGCGTTGTATAGGCAGAGTTGAGAGTGGCTCTAATTTTCTCGAATTTGAATTGTGTAGGTATTTTGGCAAAGTTAATAAAGTAAGTGATGTATTTTGTAACATCATATGGGTTCTTTAGTATAAAGTCCAAGTTGCATAGGAAGTCAAAGGCAAGTTTAGCTTTAAGCCTCTGAAATAGTTGGTCACAGTTTGTTTTGTTTATATACTGGACTTTATGATAGCACTTGTATCTTTCTGTTACAATGTGTAAGAGAGTTTTAAATTCTTTTTGATGTTGTAGTTGGGTGGTGGTGTTCTGAGTAAATGACTTGAAGAATGCGGTGTCCATGTGAATGAACTTTTCTCAAATTGCTGAGAGTATATTATGGGTTGTAGGGACAGTAGTAATTTTGTGTACAAAAAATTCTTAGAGTTGTGTAATATCATTGAAGGCAGCAATTATGTTGTCGTTGTGCCACTTTGTGTAGTCAAATTTATCAGTTTGTTGTGAAGCGAGATCTGTAAGAATTGCAGTGCACCATGCTAGGTTCCTATGACCTGCAAACTTCTATTTTGGCTTAGGTTGGTTATTGCCTGCTAGACCCGTGCATAGGATTTAGGAAGTAAAGATTTGACTGTAACATTAGATTGTGTATCCATAGATTGATTATGATTGGGTAGTTGGGCAACATTATCTATAGTAAGTAGGTTAACTTTAGTCATTATTATATCATCAGTTTGTGGGGTTACAAGTAGACCCAAGTAGTCCTGGGTTTGTAGATCTGTTGTTGTATTAATTTGAGTCAGATCAGGTCCATTATTTGTTTTGGTGATCAGTATGGGAAAGTCTGCAGTTTTTTCCACAGTAGTTAGGGCAGAGTTCTCTGTACTGGTCTAGTTGTTGTTGTCAGGAATTACAGTGTTTTGCACACTTTTTTGTAATTGTAGTGAAGAAGTAGTAGTGGGGAAAGTTGCAGATGAATAATTCCTTTTTGTAGCATCTTTGTCATTTGTATTTTTCTTGTATTTTTTTGCCGGAAGTGGGTTAGTGGTTGTTTGGTTGCAAGTAGGTGGTAAATTGGGTGAGTTAGTTTGAGGTTTTATAATAGTTAAGGTGGGGTGGCCATTGTGGGTGAAGAAGGGCTCAAAGGTCTAAGGAGTAGCAAAGAAACAATCTCTAGGCCTCTTAATCATGCTTTATATTAGCTTGCTAGCTGTTGTTTGTTTAGCTGTTGTCTTAAAGAACCCAGTTTCTGCTTCTTTAGTTATAGTTTGTTACAAGTTTTGTGCATTGCTTTGTTTACTTTTTACTACTGCAATTGATTTTCAGGGGTAAACCGAAAAGAGTTTTATTTATTCTCTAGATCAACTTTATAATCTAATATATGCAAAAAAATTTATTTATTAATTTCTTATATAGATATTAGTAAAATTAAAATAAATTATAGTTAGATGATTATCAAATATTGTGTTATTTTGTAAAGTTTAAAATTAAACTATTATCAAATAGATAAGTTTATTTATTGCTTCCTGTTACATGACATTTTTGTCACAGATCACATGACATAATCGGCTAATTAAAAGTAAGTATATTTATTGTTATTACCAGTATATGAATTTTAAAATTTTATATATCTATCCTAATCACTCTCCTAACCCTAACTAACTCTACCTAACCTCTAACTAACTCTAACTAACCCTAATCTCTAACTAACCTCTAACTAATCCTAACCTCTAACTAACCCTAATACTAACTAACCCTAATGATTAACTAATCTCACTTTACCCTAACTATCACATAACGAATAATTGTAATCTACTAACATAACACATGGCGAAACTAATAACAATTCATAAAATTATAGCTTTATGAAAAAAAACTACTTCAAGGCTAAAGTGAACCTAGTATGATATATACAGATGACTGAACCATGACTATAACGAGATGACACCAAAGGAAATGAAATCATACCAACAAAGGCATTAATACTGATAACACTGAAGCAACAGAATCACACAAACGAAAACTTCTAAACAATAAACTAGAAGACAACATAGGCATAATATCTAAAAAAACAAATAACACAGTATCAAAAGGTCGAAACCTTATTAATGAATGTAAAATCAAACTAATAGCAAAATGTAAAAACTCAATAACGAATGTGAAATTACACTAATAGTAATACCGGCAAAAGAACACCAATGACAATGGCTCCAAAATCACACAAAACGAAAACTTCAAACCAATAAACTAGAAGAGACAACATAGAACAACGTTTAAAAAAACAAATAATACAGTATTAGCCTCATTAATAAACATCAATTCAAAAACTCATTAATGAACATCAATTCAAAACCTATTAACGAATGCAAAATTACACCAATAGCGATACTGGCAATAGACAACATAGGTATAACGTCTAAAAAAACAAATAACATGATATCAAAAGGTCAAAACCTTATTAATGAATATGAAATCACACCAATAGCAAAATATCAATGAATGTGAAATCACACAATAGCAACACCAGCAATATAATACCAATAATGACAGCTCTGAAGAAGACGACTAACAATGATGGTTTAGAAAAAACAACTAACAATGAAGATCTAAATCTAAAAATAGAGGTTAGTTCAACGTATACAAGAAAAGAAAAAGACAAAATTCCATCTACAAATGTGGCAATATTGCAACACCAACAATAGCAACTTCAACAATGTCAGTTTCAATAACAGCAAATAGTAAAGAAGCTGCTACTCTAGCGATACGACTTGTTACCTATAGACCTAATAGAAAAAAAAATTAGTATAGTACACATACGTAGAATACAAAGAAAAAGAAACAATGATTGGTATGGATGATCATTGTTTATATATTACTACAGTCTGGGATTTTTCCATATTTGGATAGTGTCGATCGCACCATTTTTAGTATAGGATCAATGATCAGATGATTCTAGATGTATCTGTTATACAAAGCCTAGAATCACTCGATTAATACTATATGTATGTATATAAAATTGCCAAATAATAGGAATCGAAATTTGGGAAATTCTATTTTCACCAGGTTAAAGTCACTCAAAATATAATTGCTACTATATATATTATATAATATAAGCTACTATAAAAACTAAAGATTCTATATATTGGTCAGTTAATTGTTAGTATAGACTAATTTTAATGATATTATATAGATTTATATTATATAATATAATAAAAATTAAATATCAGGTAACTTTAACTCGGGTGAAAATAGAATTTCTCTAAAAATTTGGTTTAATTTTTTAAAAATAAACTTTTCATTTTAATAAAATAAATGTCTTCGTTTGAATAAATTGCCAAAGAATAGGAATACAATTTTTTAAAAACTAATTTTCGTTGAAAAATAATTAGAAATAAATAAAGGCTTCATTTGACCTTGCCAAAGAATAGGAATTGAAATTTTATACAATTTTTAAAGCAAAATTTTTATTGAAAAATAATTAAAAATGAATAAAGGCTTTGTTTGAGCAAAAATGGATCGTGCCAAAGAATAGGAATTGAAATTTTACGACTTTCAAGTACATAT